GGTATTTGGGATCTTTCATATATGAGATGCAAATCTAGCATCCTATATGATTTTATGAATTGAAATTTCAATTAAAAAAACCCACATGTAAAATAATTTACATGTGAATTTCATACATGTGTATATATATATATACATGCACGCTTATTCCTGCACAACATCCTGGGAATGGCTCGGATTGGCCTGTTCATTCTTAGTTTCAATTTTCACGAGCCTCGACTATTCATTCGTTTTATTGAGTTATTACTTTGTAGGCATGTATGAGTTTCAATTGTAAAAAATCGGCTGATTGCACAAGCTGTGTCATACACTGCTTGTTCCCAGCAAACAATGTGGTTACAGGATGTCGTGGTTTTGTCGCCAACCGCCGGCGAAATTTGTAGACCAAATCCATATCCATCTGTGTTCTCATTAGGATATGGTTTGGCGACCACCCTTACGAAAAAGAACTACTGCCGATTAGATATAAATAAAAAAAGTCAGTAATATAAATATTACTGACAATCACACAAGAATATTATTAGATATTACAGGAATGACTGAAAATATTACTGGCAATTACACAGAATGCCAGTAATTATTTCGTACTACTGCCGCAATATATTACTGCCAATAGTTCTTTTTCATAAGGACATATCTGTCAAATATGTGAGATATCAAAATGAGACTAAAATCATAACAGGTCTGTCACTAACAAAGCAAAGTCAAAGTGGCGCACCAAATCCAAAACAGATTTGATCGTCTGTTGGTGCCAAAATCGCGCCAAATATACATCATATCTGTTACCAGAACTGTCAACAAAACAGTAGCAAATACAGACCAAATCTGTCGTTAGAAGCGCCGACAGATTGTTACCACACGCAGATCAGATCTGTCGCCTAAAAAATTCCAGTAGAATTACTTACTAAACAAAAAAAAAAGAAAACCAATGGTATATTGCCGCCTTGTCGGACGGAAATTCATTCAATTGTACTTAATTAATTTCTGGAGGCCTGATTTAGCTCGCTGATCAACTGATGAACTCTATTGAAAAAGACCGAACCTGAAAAAAAATCCTAATGTGATAGCGGGATTTGAACTCGAGACCTCTATATTCGCAGCCCCTGCACTCAATCCGCGAGACCACTTGTGTTTCTTACTAACATGTAATTATTTTTATCTACTTATTCTCAAGCTCTATTCTACATTTTATTTAATATTTATTTAAATTATTATTTTACTAAAACAATGTTGCAATGCAAAATGTACCTGCATAAATGACTAAAAATACTTTTCTTATTATTNTTAAATATAATTTAAAGTACATTTTTACAACGCGAACAAATTTGTTGTTAATATATGCTGATACTTACAATATGAATAAACAAAGTGTTTTTTAATGGTTTTGGTCACTGAAAACAAATCCGGCGGCAAAATTGACCTACCACGTCAAATTTCCGAGAAAATTAAGGTTAAATGTATAACATACTGTCTATTAGCGTGAGAAAGAGCGTATCAATGTGTCTCATTCAGGGACTTAATACCGGTATGATTTCAATACCGGTATTATACTAGAGATTGTATACCGAAACCGATATAGTACCGAAATTGAGTCTTACCGTTACCGTTATAGTACCGAAACCGATACATTACCGAAAACCGTAATAAAATACCGGTATTATTTCGGTATTTCTACTAATGGTATCTTAAAAATTAGATAGGTTAATTAAAGCAATTTTTGTTGCATAATTAATCTTCCTACCTTATTGGACGTATAGACCGACAAAATATAAAGACGCTTTTTTTTATAAACCAATTGAAGCAGCT